CCACCAGCCCGGGAAACAAAGCGAAAGGAGATTAAAGTCACCACCTTGGGAAGGGTGGCGAACGAGCGGGGACGCCCTTTACAAAGGCAAACCGAAGAGGCAATTTTCGGTGGTTCTGTTCAAAAGAGCACGGCCGAGGACGGCTGCCTTCCACAATCCTTCTTATCCCACCGAGTCAGTTGTCCTCGAACTCTTTTCGTCCTCGACCAGTTTCCTCGCCGTTGTAAGTCCGCTGTCCGTCGCGGAACTGAGCTCGCTCCTCCGGCTCCGCCGCTGCGCTCAGGATCGCCCGATTAACACGCGCCGCTGCAACGCCGGGAAAGCCCAAGGCGGAGGCGATCCGCGCTCTGCTTCGCACGCCCGCTTGCTCGTGTTGCCCGGCGCGCGTGTGTTTGTGTTGGGGAGTTTCTTCCTCTTCCTTTAGTCCTTCCTGCCAGCTCTCTGAAGTCCTGAAGTTTTGCACGCACGCCCCGCTCCTTCAAACCCTGCAAGCCGTGTTTAAGCTTGCTTTGGGTAGAGAATAGTTAGGAAATTCACTGAAACGCCAGAATCTGGGGAACGGAGCGCGCCGGGACAATAATAGGGGCAATAAACTCAAGCAGGTAGGGGGTGTTTGCTCCGTGTGGTTGCACCAGCGAGTCGCATCTGGAATCCCGCGTCCCTCCACCAAAAGAGCTAAAATAAATTGAAGGAACCCCGAGGCCCAATATGCTCTTGGTCTCTGCTTTAAGAGATCCCAGGTTTTGCCGAAATACCTACAAAACCTGAGAGATGCCATGATAGGAAAAGGCGAGATTGGAGAGGGGCGGCGGCGGGGTCGGGAAGGGAGGAGAGGAGAGGAGAGGAGAGGAGAGGAGAGGAGAGGAGAGGAGAGCGCGTCGCCGCCCAGGGATCTGTCGTGTCTTTCCCCGAAGGGCGGAAAAAGCCGCAGTCAGCTCGGCCCGGGCTGGGCTGGGAGCATTTTGGGGGGGTGGCAGCGATCCTGGCCAGGTTTTGCGGCTCACCAGGCTGACCTGTCAAGAGGATTATTTTAGAAGGAGATTAATAGGGGAGGCGGGCCGCAATAATAATCGTTTTGTTTGATGTGACAACTTTGATAGGCGTTGATTTACTTACAAACTGATAGGGTTTTAATTGAGCGCCTCCATCCAGCTTGAGATGAAAGGAAAACCGCATTGAAAAGCTGCCCGATTGCCCTCCAGCCTCAATACTGATTAGCCATCTCGACAGTGAATAGTTCAAGGCATTTTCAAACTTTTCCACCACCTCCCCCCACTCCTCCGCCCCGCTCTCTCTTCTCCTCCTCAAATATCTGCCAGCCCACTCCTTTTTTCCCCTTCTCCAGTGAAAATAAATCATTTCCATTGTGTGCAAATAAAATCGACTTGACATCTTTGCCAATAGCTGGTAGGTAAACCAAAGTGTGGACTGGCACTTGCTAATTAATCGCCTCCCTCCTCTCCTCCCCCTCCTGCAAAAGAATGTCAGCTTCCCCTCCCGTTGTTGGAGGGCGAGCAGTTGTTTTCCCCCAGCTTTTCGTGGGGAGGGGGCGGAGGGGAGGGGGCAAGCGAGGCGACGGCAAACAAGCTGCCCCCAAAACAGCGAAGCGCTGCGAGGAGGGCGCCTGAACTTCGGGAAGACCGAGCGAGGCGGCGCGGCCGAGCCCCCCCCCCCCGGCCGCGTTTATGCCAGCCATGGCGGGGGGGGCGGGGGGCAGAGCCGGGCACCTTTTCGCAGCCACCCGGAAAAGGAGGCAGCGCCTCTTTCCGGGACTCTGGCCTGCGAGGAATCGGAGGATGCCTCCCGTCCTTCGGGCGGCCGCTCTCAAGGCGCGCTCTGCCGCTCAGTGCGTGATTGAAATCGCACTTCAAAGGCTCAGGGGCGGCCGCAGCGCGATCCTTCTGAAGTTGTTAATTGCCCTACCTGCTGCAGCTCCTGGTGGAGCCGAAAATCGTCCTCGCCGCCCCCGCCCCCCGCGCCCCCGCGCGTCAATACGCCGCTTGTTTTACACATGTCCCGCGGATCACCTTTGATTCTCCCGGTTCAGAACTGTAGCAAGGCCTCTCCTCGCCCCCCCCCCCCCCGCGCCCTCGCTCGCAAGGAGAAGGCCTTTCCCACATCTGACTCTGCCTTAAGACAATTAATCTTTTCGTATTTTCACCCTGGGAGGCAGGACAAATACGGCAGGGCACCCGAGCGAGGTCTCCCCGGTTTTGTAAGGAAAACAGCTGTTCCAAGGGCTTCGATTCAAATGAACACCAATGAAGAACGGTTCGGAGCTGGACTGGCTGGCTTTCCTCCTCGCTCGCTCGCTCGCTCGCTCTCTCCCCACCCTGCTTTCTTTGCTCCCCATTTATCAGTTTGTCTTAACAGCCAAAGAAAGGCTAGGACGGGGGGGGGGGGCGAGAAGCGAGGGACGTCCTCCAGCCATTCCTGCGCCGCTCACCAGTGGAAATATCCCTGGAAGGAAAAGAGGAGCTCTCTCTGGATTCCCTCAGTGATGCTTCCCCGGAATAACGCTGCTTTCTGCCCCCTGCGCATCTGTCCCAGAAGCACGCACGCCCAGCGCTGTAGGCCCGGCCCGAGGGCAGACCGCCTGTCCCAAGACCTGGCGTCAAGCGCTGTGCAAAGGCGGAGCGAAGAGGGTCCTTCCTGAACCGCGAACAAAAGGAGGGTTGTGTCATTTTTCCCCAAGGGGAAAGCGGGAGAGTCTCCCCAGCGCAAGCTGCGAGGAGTTTTCCTGCGCGAGCCCCTCTGGAAAACAATTCCCCACTGGGGCCCCTGGGCCGCTGCAGCGGGAGACCCTCCACCTCTGGCCTCCTGGGCGAGTGTTTGGAAGGAAGCTCCGTTTAGTCAAGCGGGCTTGCTTCCAAGGAAACGTGCCCAGTCCTCGGTTCAGCTCTTACCTGCGCGGGAGCGCCACAGAAGGCCTTCCAGGCCCCTCTCGGCCCCAGGCGCCTCCTAGAATGTGGGGAGAAGAACTCGGAGCGTGGCGAAAGACGTCTGGGGGAGCCCGGAGCCGCGGCGCTCCTCCGGCGCTCCGAGGCGGCAGGCCCGCCGCAAGCGCGGGGCAGCCCAGCTGAAAGGATGTGCGGGGTCGGGGGGTCACGGCGCCGGAGCGACTCCTCGCCTCGTCCCGGGAGCGCGCCTCGCTGCCGGCCGGGCGCGGGGGTGGGGAGCCCGGGACGCGGCCTCTGCTTGCGCAGGATTCCAGTTCAGGCACTGGCCGCGACCCCTGGCCGCTCTCCCGCCGCGTGCTTCCCGTCAGGCGTGCTGCATACCTCGGGCTGACCTTTCCCTGCGCGGAGGGCCACCCGCTCAGACGCAGAAGCAACCAGCGGCACGCAAAAGCTGGGCGAGGGGAGCGCCGCGAAGGCAATGCTTATAGGACGCCTGAGAAGGATCGGGTCAGGCGGACGCCAAGTCAGGAAAGACACGACCGCAGGCTCCGCAGTGCGACCCGGAGGGGTGCTGGGGAAGAGCGGCAGAGGAGCCCGCGGGCGCGCTGCAGGGCGCCGGCGTCTCTCGCAGGCCGGCCGAGCCTGGCCGAGCCGCCGGAAGGGCCGCGGGGGACAGGGGCCCCGGCCGGGACCCCACCGAGCCTGCTGCTGCCGCCCGCTTGCTCGGGAGCAAGCCCCGCCGTCTCTCGGCCCGGCCAGGCGGGAAGGGTCTCCTCGGGGCGGCGAAACCGGGACTGCCACGGGAGAGCGTCCCGCCGGAACGCGCCGTTTCTGTCCGTCCTTCCAGCCGAGGGAGACGGGAGAGCGAGCGAGCCAGCAGGCAGATCGATACGGCAGCGTGCGGGGATCCGTGCTGGGCGACGGGGCACTGCGCCGGCGGACGAGACTCCGCAGCCCGCGCCGTCTCGCCTGGGCCAAGCCCGGGATCGCGCCCCTGCCCCCAGAGCCTCCGCGCGCCCCGTCGGTGCGGGCACTCCGCGGGCTGCGCCACTGTCAGGCCAGGCTTAATCTCACTTAAACATTCCGTCGCGCCAGAGCCGGGAGAGGCGGGCTGGCGATGAGATTTCGGCGCTGCGCTGCCCGCGTCGGCCCCGACACGAGGACCGCGGCCTCGGCCCGCAGCTTCCGCCTTCCTCGACCGGCCGGGGCACCCAGGCAGCCCGCGAAAGCACCCCAGCCTGCCCCTGCTTACTCGGAAGTAAACCCCACTGTGCTCAGTGGGGCTACCTCGAAGTAAGGGCGCGCAGGGCGGCCGCTGGACCACCCGGGGCTCTGCCTCGTTCCTCGAAGCCATTCTCAGGAGGGACTTTCGCCCGGCCAGGGAGTGCTCCACCCCTGCAGCCCCTTCGCAGGCGTGTTTACTCGGAAGTAAGTTCCACTGAGTTCAATGAGACCTAGTCCCAAGAAGTATGCACAGAATTACGATCTGAGTGACGCGGGGATGCGCAAAAAGCCGACGACGGTGAGGGTGAGGGTGAGGATCGCCATCATCGGATGGCTGCGGAGAACCGCCCGGAGCCCGCCGCGCGCTCCCGCAAGGCGTCCGCGGCGGGGCCTCCAGCCGGAGAAGTGCGAGTCGCTCCTTGTTTGGCTGGCATACAAATTGCCTTTACTCGGAGCGCGATTTACTCTTTAAATGGAACGGCTCTGTTGCAGGGGAAGTCGTCTGTCTGTCTGCCCCTCCGCTTCCCCTCCGCCCCCGCCCTCTCTTCCTTCAAGTCGCGCTCGGCTTGTAATCAGCAACAAAACCTGACATAAATCAAGGGAGGATTGACAGGGGCTGACAAATAACTGATTGATTGCGGTTGGGGCGCATTGACAACTGACGGCGAGGGGAGCGCGCGGCGCGGCGCAGGACTCCCCGCCTCCGAAGCGGGGCGGGCCGCGGCGGGGCCGAGGCGGAGTTCCGCGGCATGTGACGCCCGCGTCCCCCAATCTCCGTGCGAACCCTCCCCGTGCCGCTCCGGGCCCGGTGGGAGGGCTCCGGGCTCGCACCTCGAGGCGCAGGGCGCTCGTTCCCTAGTTTCGCGCTCCGGCGGCATGGAAAACCGACGAGGTTGGCAGGCGCGCAAAAGGCGCCCCCGGGAAGCAGAGCGCCTCCTCCTTCGCCGCTGTCCTGGAGAAAAGTGCCGTGAACACCGGGCCGAGCGACTGAAGAGCGGGCAGGGCCGGGCCGCGTCGCTTGCCCGCCGCCTGTAGCATCCCGGGTGCGTTTGCCTTCCGGAGAGGCACGGGAGGGCGCGCACTGCGGTGACCGCACGTGGCCGCGCGCCCGGGAAGGCTGAAGTGCGGATCCGTGCGGGAAGTGCCCGCACGTCCTTTCCCAAGGCTCCCGAACGCCCCCCCGCTCTCTCCGCCCCCCCGCCCCGCCAGCGCAGGGGGGCACGGAAGCCCCGCAACGAACGCCGAGTGGCCGCCGCGAAGCACAGAACTGATGCGCGCCCATCCATCTCTCCATCCGCCCTGTCCTTAGGAGCAGCCGCAGGAGGAGGGGAAGGCGCAGCGGAGGGAGCGAGCGAGCGGGCGAGGGAGGGAGGGAGGAGGGAGCGAGGGGGGAGGGGGGGAGGAAGAGCCGATCCGCGCGCGCGCGCGCGCCCGGAGGGGGGCGGCGGCGGCGGCGGTGGAAAAGCCCCTGAAGAGGGACGGTGACGTCACATCCCCTTGACCCTCCAATCACCTCGGGGTCCCATTTGATTGGAAGGCGGCAAAGGCTTTAATCTCCGACTAATTCAGCTGCTTTTGAAGTGAGTTCCTCCGCCAGATCCGCGGCTGGACGGGCAGCGGCTAGCATCCCAGCTGAGCGCGGCGGCGGCGGCGGCCGGGGCAGCGCCTGGAGCGAGGCAGCCAGCCGGCCGGCCGGCCATCCGGGCGGAGGAAGGCGAGGTCGGGGACGCGGACGCGGACGGGGAAGCGCCGCGAGCGCCCCGCCCGCCCCAGCCAGCGCAGCCCTCCGGCGGCGAGACCGAAACACCCGCAGAGCACGAGGATTACTGCTGCCGGCGCGCCCCGCGAGCCCGAGCCCGGCCGCCGCGCGCTGCCCTCCGCCGGCGCGGCGCGGCG